GCTGGGCCAGCCAGCCCCTCCTGCCGCTCCTGCGGCCCTGCTGGAAGCTGGCGATGGCCTTGCCGCTTGGCCCACGTCACCTGGCTGCTCAGGTCCCGGCTGGAGGCGTTGATCTCAACGATGGTCGCCCGCGAGCGGTACTGCTTGATGCTGTCCACCAGCCTCAGCCGCTGCAGCTCCTCCTCCTCGAACCTTAGCAGAAGAGGGGGTGCAGGCCCTGCCCGGCAAGGTCCAGTTCCTTGGCTCATTTGATGGACTCTGGCGAGGGTGCCGATCACAAGCGCACATATGCTGCTGGGCGTTGTTGGCTACGTGGCCCAGGCCCGGCTGCTTCAGTGACGCCTCCAGGGTGTTCCGCAGGCCGCAGTCCTTGGCGTCCACCACGCTCTGTGCACCTGGCCCAGCATCTGAGGGGTCCTCGTGGGGGCGGGAGAGGGTGAGCGCACGGCCCAGGAACAGGTGCAGGTCCAGCAGGTAGGGGCCCTCATCTGGGGCCACCAAGGAGTAGGCTGTGCCACTTGTGCCAGCTCAGGCCACACCACCCACGCGGTGCAAGAGGAGCTTGCCCTTGGCCGGGAAGCTGAAGTTGATGTCGTTGTTCAGCAGTGGGATGTCCAGGCCCCCGGCCGCCAGGTCAGTCACCAGGGGGTAGAGCACTTGCCATGGGTGATCGTGGCCAGGTTGATCTTGTGGGCCGGCTGGTCCAGGGCACTGTAGATGTGGGCCCAGCTCACCCACCGGAGGGGCCTCAGCCTCGGGGGGGTGCGGTTAGGGGGGACCGGATGGTGGTTGAACACACAGTGCACCTCATAGCGACCAGTCCTTCAGCCATTCGATCGATTTGCATACTAGCCGTTTATTATATAGGATTGGGGTTCCTCAAGCATTGTTCACAGTCAGAAAGTGTGACAACTACTGCGCCAGATCCTTAGACCCAGCTAGACACTAGGGAGGATATTCCCTGTTTGGGTTTGGGGGTATAATCAGATTTACTTCAGATTTAGGGACCAAGAAAAACTAGGTGGGAGTGTGCCACGCAATAAACTCTTGTGAGGCCTCCCCAGATGTTTGACAATTAATTGAAGAAACAGTCTTAAAAGGTTTTCCCTGGCTCTGACTACCCAAGGTGGGAGCCAGTCCCAGTTTCTTCTTTCTCATCCTCTCATCTAAGTTTCTCTGTCTTTCTGTTTCCTCTCTCTCTTCTTCATTCCCACCATCTCTCTCTCTCTCTCTCTCTCTCTCTCTCTCTCTCTCACACACACACACACACACACACACACACAATTGGCAACAACAAAAACCAGAAGGGAGGTATCCGGTGCACAGAAAGAGCTTGCTGGCTCTGGAATGTCAGGCAGGCCTGGATTCAGTTCCCACCTCGACCCATCACTGACTGTGAAGACCTCAGAAAGTCACATCCCTTCTCAGAGCCTCAGAATCCTCTGGAAACATGAGCATGACTACTACTCAACAATAAAAAGAACAAGAACTCAATTTTAAAAGAGTCTAACGGTTTGACTAGATATTTTTCTGAAAAAGATAGATAGTCAATAGCACATAGAAAGGTGCTGGACACCACTAGTCACTAGGGCAATGCCAATCTAAACCACGATGAGGTACCACTACATGCTCAGTAGGATGGCTGAGGTCAGAAACGTAAGTGCTGGCGATGGTGTGGGACATTGGAGCCTTTATGCATGGTTGGTGGGATTGTAAAATAGTACAGCCGCTCTGGAAAACAATGTGACAGCTTCTCAAAATGTTAAACGTAGATTTATCACACGACCAAGCAATTCTACTCCTAGATATATACCCAAGGAGACTGAAAACGTGTCCACACAAAGATTTGTACATGAATATTCACAGAAGCATTATTCACAATAGCCAAAAGGTGGCAACAACCCAAATGTCCATCAGCTGAGGAATGGATAAACAAAACGTGATATGATCGTACAATACAATACTATCCAGCCCTAAAGAGGAAGAAGTGCTGACACATGCTACAACATGTATAAGCCTTGAAAACATTATGCTCAGTGAAAGAAGCCAGTCAGAAAGGATCATCTACTGTATGATTCCATTTACATGAAATGTCTAGAATAAACGAATCCATAAAGAGAGCAGATTGGTGCTTGCTGGGGCAAAGGGGAGTGAGGAGTGACTGCCAACGGGTGTGGGGTGATTTGGGGGGGCGATAAAATGTTCTAAGCTGGATGGTAGTGATGGTTGCACTACTTTGTGAATATACTAAAAATCACAGAATTGTACGCTTTAAAGGGGTGAATTTTATGGCATGTGAATGATAGCTCAATAAAGTTTTTATTCTTTTTTTTTTTTTTTTTTAAAGAGGGTTCACACATCAGATTGTTGTGAGAGTAAAACAGGGCCTCTGGCAGGGCAGTGCCCAGCATGGTCCCTGATGTGGAGCAGTGTGGTGGCTTTTCGAGGGCTGCGAGGCGCAGGTGCCTAGAGTCTTAGATGGCTACACTAGCCTGAATTCTAGGAATTTCAGTGCCAGGAGGGAGTCTCGTTATTTCCTGATCTGCTGAGCTTGGATCCCAAACAGGACACACCACACGTCACTCAATACAGCTCCCCCAACACACCTTCCTGACTCAACTTTTCTCGCAGTTTCTAAACAAAACAATAAATAACAGGCATGAAACCATATATCATCTTTCTTGTTCCCCCTTGAAAGAACAATATACTGACTCGAGTCCCAAATGCTGCCTCCGAGGAGAGAAGCTGGGATGCTCTGAGCAGAGGTGGCTCCCCTGATTTGGGATGACAGCCGGGGACAACAGGGAGGGTGGCGCTGGGACAGGAGGGTGTCCTGTCCTCCACTTCCCTTGTTGGTCAAAGCACAGAGGCTGGGAGGTTTGAGGGGACATAACCTCACCCTCCGAAGCTTCTTGGCCCCACAGGGTAGAGGTATCTAGTCAGGTATCTAGTCAGACCCTTCATTTCACAACTGGGAAAACAGGCTCAGAAAGATCAAGAGGTTTTTGGAAGCAAGTTAGTGACAGAATCAGGAATTGGCCATCTTCTATGCCCGGCTGAAGCCTCAAAGTGACCTGGGGCGGGGGGTGAATATTTGTCATCCTCCCCTGATTTTCCCAGAGATGGAAGCTGAGGTGCTCACCCAGCTAGGAAGACACAGAGCTGGAATTCAAATCCAGGTCCACCTAGAAACCATAAAACATCAGCCATGTCGAAGAGCCAATTAGAATATAACCCCTCACCCTGCCCCATGTCCCATTACCTGCTGTCCTGAGGCCTGTCAGGTACAAGGTGAGCTGAGTGTGGACTGTGCTGATGCCAGGCTGGGCAGGGGAAAAGGACGGCTGGAGAGGCCCCGCCACACCCCCATGACTGACAGGGGGCGGGGCGTGACGTGTCCCTGGGCCACACTCACTCAGCGAAGTGGCATTCCTTCCTGCCAGTGCTATCAGCCCCAGGCCTTCCTGACTGATCTGTCTCTTCCCTATGACACCCCAGAAGCAGCAGAAGGGGCAACCACCCCCAAGAGGCCCGTCCCCGGGCCATGGCCATGCCCTCTATCTCCAGGGGGAAGTGATGTTGCACCAAGGGTGGGGACGTTGCACCACCCTTGGCTGTGCTAAGCTCTGGGCAGGGAGGAGGTGGGGCGCCTCCCAAGTCCTTCCACCTGCATTGGTGAGGCTGACTCAGGGCCCAGCCATGTGGACCAACCTGATGCTACTGGGAAGGGTGAGGCTGGGCAGACAGCAGGTGGAGGGGGGTGGGCACTCAAGGGACTGGGGATTCCTGTGAGCAGACTGGCAGTGCCCTCTCCTGGTGAAGAAATTGGGCAAAGGCTAGAACATTCACTGCCTGTGCAGATGGGAAAACACAAGTCCTGAGGTGGGGGGGGGGGGGGGGGG